GGATATTTATCTTAAACATTACTGAGAGGGACCTACTGTAAATGTGACATCCTCACACTTTTCAAATCTTTAACTTGTTAGGATCTTCCCATAAACTTAAAGCCTAGAAGACTTCCAAAGCAAGAGTTACAGCAGTCTTTATTCTCAGACTCAGTGAATTAAATCCAGGACTCTGATTTAATGATGTGGGCACAAGAAGCCAGTTGTATGGCATGCTCTACCAGTACCTTGGGCTTAAGGGCTCTATGGGGAACTGAATAAGTCAGGAGAGATTTGATTTGGAGCCTGGTAATTAGTTCTGTGAAATGCTCATTTGTTTATAAGCTTCCAGTTCTAGAGCAAAACCAGGCTCTGGGTGTTTTTTAATTTCCCACCTGTTCATGGTGTGTTTTCTCTTCATCCCATGACCAACAGTTGAAGGTTGGTAAGGACTTCCTACAGTCTAAACAAATCTGACGCCCTCTTCATTGTTCAGACTTTAACTCCTACTGCTGATGAACAGAAGATAAGTTGATGCAGAGGAGATTTACGTATTAGCCATAACTCCAATTGTACAACTCAATAGCCCCATTATCTTTTACGGTTCAAAATGTACTGCTGACCTTGGGTTTGTTTTTGTTTTTGTTTTTTTTTCCTGTTAGGATTATTTGGGGCTTTTGGTAGTTTAAACTCTTTAACCTTTTCTTTGCTGTGTATGAGGAAAGCTAAAGCTGTTATCAACTTCTTATTCTACGGATACTAACACGGGTTTTCAGTGTTTGTTTGTTTTTATTATTATTAATTTTGTGTGATGTGAATACCCTCTCCCATCAATATTTGTATTATGGTGCTATATATTTGGTAATGATCCTTTACTATTGGGAAGGGATTTTAAAAATACTGTGATTAAACTGGGTTTCTTCCTTTGATTTTCATATTTTAAATAAAGCCACAGTCATTTATACAAAAGAAAAGCATCTGTCCCTGGGCAAATCTTTTGAGGACAGAGGTCAAAATAAACTGCATAAGGTTTTTACATCATTTCTGTATGTATTTGATATATAGACCAATATCTGTACAAATTTAATCTTTTATTTTCTTGGTAACTTGTGATCATTGAGAAAGTATTTGAAACTTTCTCAGGAAGTGTATATAATGGCGTGACAAATTCTTCAGAGAAATTTATGTTCCTTTCATTTTTACCAAATTGCAAATTTTCAGCATGGATGTGCAAGCATTAAAATTATAACTTTGTGTACAAGATGAAAATAATTCACTAAATTTGCCCTTTTTTACACAAAATAAAATGTTAAAGTTAAGTTGTGTTTGAGCAATTTCTTTAATATGCTTTGGTCTTTGAGAGGTTTCCTTTTTGTATCAAAAATATCAAATGCAATATAAGCAGTCAGAGGCCCCCGTGAAAGATCGGTTTCTTCCTCGCAAAACCCACAGTGTAATAAGGTAAAGCAAGGCCATGCGTGAGAAAGCATTTACTACCAGCTGACAAGGAAGGAAGAGAGTGTGGGTGGGTGCATGGACAAGGCTGCATCTGAGCCGGACGGAAAAGGCAAAAACCACAACAGGAGCAGAGGTAAGTGTGAACCACTTAAGGGGGATTTGTTTTTATTTTTAAGTCTTAACATCGTAAAACAGACCAGGGTGTCTGGTTCATTTCATCTCCTTCACTGCCAAACCTGCGGACAGGGACTGCTTCAGTCTCCCTGCCCTTTTTTTTTTTTTTTTTTTTTTTTTTGTCTGTGATGACCAAGATACAAGGTTATCTGCTGCTTCAGACTTTAAACTTCACATTATCCTTACGTGTCTATATCCTGACAGTTGGGGCATTCTTTCATGTGGCTGGGAGCTGGAAGTCCTTGATTTCCTCAGTTCTGCGAGGCATGGCTGCCTCATATTATCACTCCAGTTCCAGTGGGTACTTACTGCCCACGAGGCCAAGGGGGATTTAAATCGCCTGAGCTATAGAACATGGTGTTTCAAGGTGGCTTGTCTGCTAGGGGACTTTTTTCAAGCTCTGTTAATCTCTCAGGCAAAGTTAATAAGATGTAAATAAATTGTCCCAGGCAGCTGGTGCTGTTAATACATTAAGAGAGAATTCAAAGACGACGACTCTGCCAATGAGTTTTTGGAAAATTATTCAACTTCTGCAAAAGCAGTTTGTAGAGAGTTTTACAATTGTAAGACAATGAGATGGATTGGGTCTCTTCAGAGGTTAATTTCATCACACTTGAGAAAAGAATACAGTGCATTCCAAGAAAAACAGAAGTGGACCCTACTCTCTGCCCTGTTTCCTACGTTTATTGTCCTGAACTGCTGCCTGGTAAACTGGAATTCCCAGGTGGGCTCTCATTCATTATCCCACAAGCTGTGATAGATAGGTTCTCTAAGTTTGGATGGATGTATTTTTCTTTAAACCATTACATGCCTCTTGGGGATCCATTCTTCTAAATGTACTTTATGCCCAGAATTTTAAGAGCAGCAAGTGTTCCCCCAAACAAGTAACTTTTTAGTACTCTTGTTTATCCGGCCTCCTGAGGTCAGGAGAACAGGGAAACGATTTCCCTTTTGTAGACTGTTAGTAACCCTTGAGGCTAGGGTAACCCTTCTTGACCTGTTAGAATGTCAAGCCTTTCAAGCAGGCCAAAACAGGGCTTGCCTACTGCCAACAAATAGGTAATAATGTAAAGATGTATTTCAAATGCAGGAGTTGCTGATAGTAGGTTTACAGCTGTAAATACGTGAAACAGTTTATTCTCGTATTATTTATTAACTACTGTATTTTCCATACGAGAAACGGAACCTACTTTTGCCCACTTACAGTTCATTTACTGAGTAAAACAAAAGCCCCATTGAAAGCAAGAAAGGCTCTGCAGGAGCTGTCCACTGCACGCGTAGCTGGTATACAAAATGAGGTCCAAACTCCGATCTCCCTCCAGAAGCAGTACTTTTTTATTTCATTTTTCAATTACAGTTTACATTCACTGTTTTGTATTAGTTTCAGGTGTACAGTACAGTGGTTCAACATGTATGTACTTTCCAAAGTGGTCTGCCCAATACACGCAGCACCTGGCACCATGCATAGGGAGCACACACAAGCCTGACTATTCCCTGGGGGGCAGTGCTTTTGATCTCACCGTAGTCTACTCCTTTCGCTTCTGCCAAATTCAGTCGGAACATTGGATCCTTCCTGTCCGCGCTCACCATTCCAAATTTGACTTTAACCCTGCAAACTCAGGACTTCGTCATGTCACTTGGGTAACTATATAAAGGCAGGCAGGCGTAGTGGCCAAGAGCATGGGGTCCGAAGCCAGCTGCTCAGATAGGAGGCTGACCCCTTCCCTTGTTTCCTCAGTTGTAAATCAGGGATATTGCTGTGTTTGGGTAGCTCAGTTGGTTAGAGCATCGTTCCCATACACCAAGGTTGTGGGTTCCATTCCCAGTCAGGGCACATTCAAGAATCAACCAATGAATGCGTAAATAAGTGGAACAACAAAAAAATTGTTTCTAATAAAGAAAATGGGTAAATTAGTACCAACCTCCCAGGAGTTGTGAAGAGTAAATGAATTCATGTGTGCAAACTTCGTAGACCAGCCCCAGCCCGGAGTAAGCACGTACGTAACTACCGCTTCAAACTGAAGTACCTCTGCCAGTGTGTGGAACAATCACAGGGGAGCACGCGTTAAAATGCAGATCCCCAGGCCGACCTCAGAATCTGGAATTCTAATCATCAAACTTTACTACCTAACTGTGGTGAAGGCATGTACCATAAACATGAAAATTGACTTTTTTAAAAAGATTTTTTGATTATTCTATAATAGTCCCAATTTTTTCCCCTTTGCCCCCTCCACTCAACCCACCCCTCACTCCCTCAGTGAATCCCCACTCCATTGTCTGTCCATGGGTCATTCATGCATGTTCTTTGACTAATCCCTTCTCCTTTCTTTTAAAGATTTTATTTATCTTCAGAAAGAGGGGAAAGGAAGAAGTAGAGAAACGTCAATGTATGAGAGAAACATTGATCAATCGGTTGCCTCTCACACTTCCAACTGGGGACCTGGCCCACAACCCAGGCATGTGTCCTGACCAGGAATCCAACCTGTGACCTTTCGGTTCACAGGACAGTGCCCAACACACTGAGCCAGACCAGGTGGCTAAATTTTAAAATTGAAAAATAATTTAGAAGATGTTAAACTTAATTTACTTAAAATTATACCCAGCTCAGTATATTTGTTGTCATGTACAGCAGTATGCATTAAAAATGTAATACTGAAATGAAAATAAAGAGCAAAGAAATGTGTAACAGTCTTTCATATGGAAGTGACTTAGCTTTTACCAGTTTCCTAACAGAAAATAGGTATTCAGAGACCCACCTCCTACTCCTATAATCTCCCAAGTTTTAAGCCAGACTCTCAGTGACCAGTGCCAACCCCACAAACTTAACCCTGAAAGTAGAAATAAATCTTGTAGCCACTAACTGCTCTGACCCACGAAACAGGCATGATAAATATTTTACCCCAGAGAAGAGAAACCAGCAGGGTGGCACAGCATACGTGTGTACCAGCAGCAGGCCAGGCACTAGGTTAACTCCTTTATATCCATCATTTAATCCTGCACTGCAGTGATCTCATTTTACAGATGTCTTTAGGCTTCCATTTCCTCATATATAACTTGCCCAACTTGCAATCCACAAAAAAGTTCATCTGGATGACTGTTTCACTCAAGTTTAAATAAATTCTTTGTATATAAGTGTACATTCCTGCATCAGTTAAAGAGGTTGGGGGATTGTTTCCTTACTGGTTTCCTTAGGTAGAGTACTAGCATGCTACCAATGGTCCTCTTCAGCCTCACTGCTTTCCCACGTAGAGTCCTGATGTATACAGAGGTGCTACGAAGGATCAGATCGTTCTTCCGTAATAAGCAGGGTTAATTAGCTCAAGAATGCTACTCTAGCCAGGGAATCAAGTTACTTCTTCCAGCGTACCAAGTAAGCACAGAAGGCTACACCCAGTTTCCAAAGGCTTTATTGGTATATATACTTTAGAAAACAAAGATCAATCCTATTGCTTCCAAGTCAATGGAATGGAGAGCTGTGTCCAGGGACACATCCGAGCGGAGCCAAGGGGGACCGATGCTTTGTCCACCCCTTATTCATAGATCCAGTCAAAAGCACAAGACTTGTAGTCAACCAATTCTTCAGGCTTAAACCATAGGTTGATCTCTTTCTCAGCACTTTTTACTGAATCACTGCCGTGAATGATGTTCCTAAGAAAGAACAAATACTAGTTACCACATTTCAAAGTGCAAAAGTCTGTTTAATAGATAAAGCAAAGGACAACCGCTGCAGACCTTTTCAGCCAAATTGCCCTTGAAGCATACAACTCCCCCAAAGTATTTCCTCTTAAAAACAATGATAAAAGTACTTAGTCAAAAGCATCCCCCACTTATGGTTCAGCTCCATTATGCTTCCAAGTTTCCCCCCTTCAAAATATTACTTGTATCCCAAGAATCCTTGTGCCATAAAACATTCCTTTTCCAATTTTGAAAAATACAGGAAGAATCAAACCAACCCAGACCAAAGCCTGAACACGATACAATGTATTCATTTTCTGCTCAATTTTCTTAACACTAATTTACAAAGCCCAGCCAAGATATTCATGCTTAGTGACAATCCCTTTATTCCACTGGACTCTCTTTTATACAGATTCTGTACAGGTGAGGGGCCCAAGAGGTTAAGTGACAGACACATGGGCATAATGCCCCCAACAACAACGCCGAGGCCAGCACCCTTTTCCCATACTCTTTCTGCCAGCATATGCAGCTCCCTGGTGCAATGTCTTGGTTAAAATTTCAAGTAGCAAGCAGCTGAGGAAAGGAGCTATTTAAAAATACTTGTATCTGACAATTACCACCTACTTCAGAACTTCAAAGTCTTCTAAAATTGGGATATGCCAAAAACTGTTTTATACCCCATTTAAATGGCTTTGAGGAAGTCGTAAGTGCCCCTCAGGACTTACCTGCCAACTTGAATGCAAAAGTCTCCGCGAATGGTGCCTGGCTTAGAATCTGCTGGATTGGTCTCCCCAAGCATCAGTCTCCCTGTCTTCACCACATTCAGCCCTTCCCAGACCTTGACAGCAGGGAAAAGGAACTGCATCAGGTCTGCCATTTGGGACATTAGGAATACACGTCTACCCCTTCCTAAAAACACACATCAGTCAGACCAGTCAGGGGCATGAGTTTCAGCTAACCCCAGTAGACAGTAGGGGGCGTATGGAAAATGCTCCACGCTCCATCCCAACTGTACTGCCAGTGTAAAAAAAAGTTTACTCAACTTGGTAACTTTCCAGTGAGGTGAAGATAAACAATACTAAAGAATCCTTATGCAGCCACAAACACTGAGAAGGGGACGAAAGAGTACAGAAAAGTGGTCTAATTGGAATAGAATCAGTGAGAAGGGCATCTCAGAAAATAGAGCAAGAGCTGGCAAAGATTGACATGAAGGGGGAAAGAGTATCCCAGGGAAGAAAAAAGAAGAAAAGGTCATCCTCACGGAACAGGAAGTAGATCTCCTTTCTCAATAATTTAGTGGCCTCCTATTGTACCCTCTACTTCTAGTCTCTTCACTCCCAATCAGACAATAAGCCACAGGAAGAAATAAGACTGCTTTGTTTCCAGCTTGGGATTACACAGAAAGTTCTCTAAGCTCTGATTCACATTCCTTTTTGCTCTGTTAACTATACTCCAGCAGTCTCCATCTGTAAAACAAGGAATTTGGAGTAGCTGGGGAAGATGTCTAAAAAATGACCCAGAGCTCTGGCTGGTGCGGCTCAGCGGATTGAGCACTGGCCTGTGAACTGAAAGATCACCAGTTCAATTCCCAGTCAGGGCACACGCCTGGGTTGACCAGGTACCCAGTCAAGGGCATGCAAGAGGCAACCTATTGATGTATCTCTCCCACGTTTCTCTCCCTTTTTCTCACTCCTTTCCCCTCTCTGAAAGCAAATAAATTTTTTAAAATCTTAAAAAAAAAACAACACACAGTCATTGACCAAGGCCAGTTACTTTAAGCCCTCATTTTCCTTGGTTTCCCTTCCTCACCGACAAGCACTCACCATGGCCACCACGGGCCCTGAGTTCATGTACTTCACCAGCCCAGGGTAGAATGGGCGGTCTTTCAGGTCAATGTAGTGCTGCTTCAGGAGCTCCTCAGAGGCCTGGCATTGAAGAGAGGGTACCAATTAGCAACTAAACTGGAAGGGCCTGAATATGGCTCCATCCACCTCTCAGACTCCAATTAACATGGTAGCATCTCTAAAAGTCAATTTAGTATTTTAGCCCACATAAGGGGGGGCGGGGGCGGTGTGCATATGTGTAATCTCCCATCCAGCCCTGGCCAGTGTTGCTCAGTTGGTTGTAGCCCCGTCCCATCAACCAAAAGGTTGAGGGTATGATTCCAAGTCAGGGCACATAAGTATGTTGTGGGTTCAGTCCGGGTCAGGTGCGTATGGAAGGCAACCAATCTATGTTTCTTCCTCATATCGATATTTTTCCTCTCTCTTCCCCCCCTCTCAAATCAATGAAAATATTTTTTTTTAATCCCACAAACCATTAAACTGACCCTATGTTACCAAAAGATTGTTCTGCTCATGACGACAGCCTTATAATATCAATGACGTTATGGATGTTTTCCTTAAAGTATATTGAGTTGAGGATCTAGATTTAGGGAGGTAAGTGTTGGATGCAATGGAAAGAAATGTGCCAGATGGAAGTCTTATCAGACTCCTCCGGCCTGTCACAGCGCCTGTTTAAACATTTTAGCTGTTAACTGAGAACATTCACCTCTTCACTGGCGAGCTTAGTTAAAATTTCAGCACTTAGATACTTATCCCTTCAGGTCCGGATCTGTGTGCCCAAAATTTAATGTGGAAAACACTATTACTGTCCTACGGCAAAGGGAGCCTACAGAAAAAGGACCTAAAACCCACCTAAAAGCCCACCTAAAACCTCATCTCAGAGCTACAAGCTAAAACAAAAAAGGACTCCAAGCTTCTCATCTGGACACAGATGAGCCACGTGGGCCAGGGGAACGGGCCTGAGGCGCTGGCTTTCTTCACTCTCTGCTGCCCCCCAGTGACGGATGCGCAAGAGACGGTCCTACGCAGCCGAAAGAACGAAGCGGCCAGTCCCCAGCAGGGGTCACGTTACCTACGCTTAACCTTTTCCAAGGGCGTCTGTGCTGCCGGGCCTCGGGAAGGGGTCAGCGGACAGGGACCAGGGAAGAGGACAAAGGGATTCCCGCGGGGGCGGAAGTAGCAATGGGGGACTCCGATCGGACGAGACGCGAACAAGACGCGACCGAGTTACTGAGAGCAAAGAGGAGGGGGCGCGTACCTGAAGGAACTTCATGGCCACAAGGCGGAATCCTTTCTGCTCGAAGCGTTTGATGATTTCGCCCACCAGGCCGCGCTGAACGCCGTCTGGCTTGATGGCGATGAAGGTGCGCTCCGTGTTGGCCATGGTCCTGCGGGCGAGCGATCCGGTAAGGGTCCTGGGGCGGCCGACACAGGCCGCACCGGGCCCCAGCGCCCCACCCCGGACCCGGGAACCCACGTGGGCGCGCTCCCCACCCCCGCCGCGCGACACGTGGCTGCCCGGACGCCTCCGCCCTGCCGCGGCCCGCAGCCCCTCTGCAATCCCCCGAGGCCCCGCGGAGGGCCGCGCCAGGGTCCCGGGGGCCGCAGGGCCTGGGGCTCCCGCTCGGACCCGGCACAGGGGCCTGCGGGGACAAGGAGCGCCTTAAGACCGGGATCCGCCCTCCGCGACACCAGCTGGTGAGGGAACCTGGCGGGTAGGAAGGGGGAAAGCATCCCCATCGCCTTACTGAAAAGCGGGCGGGCGGGCCGCGGCGGCGCTGCGCTGCTGAGCCGGAGCAGAGACTTGTAGCGACCCCCGGAGCCGACAGTCGCCCGAGAAGGAGGAGCGCTTGGCGGCCACACCCCGGAGGGCTCCGCCGCCCAACCCGCGAGGCCGGACGCTGCTGGAGGCTCCTGTCCACGCCCCGGGTTTGCGAGTGAGGGCTCGAGGGCAGGAAGTGATTTCTTCTCCACCTAGAAGTCCCGCAAGTAAAACTAGGAATGTCCAAATCCAACTCCTCTCTCTCTCTCTCTCTCTCTCTCTCTCTCTCTCTCTCTCTCTCTCTCTCTCTCTCTCTCTCTCTCTCTCTCACACACACACACACGAAAACTTGCCCCTGGTCTTGAGTTCTTACCCTGGTCAACGCCATCTGCTTTCACCGTCCAGCCGAGCACCCAGAATGGAGCTTTCTTTCCGCATCCCCTAGGCCCTAACCTTCCTAACCGTGAAACCAAATTTTCCCCTTCCCTCCCCTCTGCTGGAGCCCCGGCTCAAGCCCCCGCCTCCTTCATCCAAACTGGCAGCCTCCAGTGGGCCTCAACCTAACCTCTCCCACGCCGAGCCTCCCTTAGCGCCCTCCTCCAACGCCCGTCTGATCCTCTGTCCTGCTTTGATGCCCCCCCGCCTGGAAGATGATAGCCCAACCCCTTAGCTAGACACCCCGCGCTTTGCACGGTTTGCCCTGGTCTCCCTCTGTCCCACCCCCACATCTCCAGCCCAAGTAGCTGCTCTTTTCCCACCCAGCATGACTGTGTGGTCAGGTTACCCACTTCAGGCTGAGACACACTCTTGAATAGAAATCAAGTCTACCAGCTATTTGCAGACCATCTCCACTTCCTCTTCCCACCCTTTGGTTTCCCTGAGGGAGGGCAAGCCCCTTCTCTACGCAGTCACTGACCCCGCCCAGCAGCGATTATACTCTGAAATGGGCAGAGCCCCTGTGTGTCTCTCTCCTCGGGGCAGTGAGCTGACCACAGGCATGGTATTATCACTTAGAGGCCTTGGCATGATGCTTATAATCTGTCACTGTTCAATGAGCTGTTTGCCCCTGATCAGGTCACTACTACACCTCCTTGTGGTACCGTTGGTAACATCCTCTGCCTTTCAGCGCTTCTTTCCTTACTGGAACTGAGTCTCCTAGCTCATTACCAGCCCTGCTTACCCACTCGGATGTGGTTGTTTTCTTTTTTTGGGGGGGGGGGGGGGGGGGGGTTTGGCCTGCTTTATTAAGGCATATTTGACAAAATTTGTATGTATTTAGATATACAATTGATGTTCTGATATAAAGGGGTGGGCAAAAGCAGACTTAAGCTGTCCATAGGGAAAAAGACATGCAGGTTATGATTATTACAATAGCTTTATTAACTTTCACATGCTCACAACTGGAAACCTACTTTTGTTCATCCCTGTATACATTAAATGATCGTCAACATAAGTATCACTTAACATAGTTATGTCTTTCTTTTTGGGGGGTGGGGAGGTATATAGTGAAAACGTGTTAAGAACTACCCTCTTAGCAACTTTGTTTTTTTCTTTTGTGTTTGGTTTTTATTGTTTTTGTTTTAGCAAGTTTCAAGTAAACACTATATTATACAGTACTGTTAACTACAGTCACAGCGCACTACATTAGCTCTCCAGCTGGACATTTAAATAAAAGATAAGTAAATTTCCATTTGCCTCTGTTAGAGCAACCAGATCAGTGTCCTAACAAATGAAGCTATTTACAAGATTTCTTCTGCTGCTTCTGAGGCCATCCCAGGGACCCAGACCCCCAATCCACATAGCTTTTCCGTTTTGGTGTAGGTACAACTCCCATTCACTGAGTCCTGAGAACTTCTCAAGAGCAGGAAGGATGACTTTTATTTCCAATGAATCCTCTGCGCCCAAGACAGTCTTGGCAACTGTGAGGTCAGAATGAGTAGCCCCAAGATGTGCTTCTGCGGTATGTGGCTTATTTTTAGCTAAAGTTGCCTTTAGCTGAGGGCTCAAGAGAACTTTTTGCCTTTCCCTTCACTACCTGGAACTGAATGAAGGGCCTTGCCCATAAAAAGAGATTATCAGAGATAACCTCATTCGACCTACCTGTGTGGCAGGGTAAACTACTAATTCCTGAACATGTGTTCTCCCTGAAGTGACCTTCTGAAGTCCCCAGGTGCCTTACCTTATCCTTAGCTCAGAAGGTCATAAAGATCCATTTTCCCTCTGTCTTTGAACCTCTTCTGCATGTGATCTATCTGGCTGTGCCATGTATGCAGTGTCCCCATACATATGTAATTATATTTGGTTATTTTCTCTCATTAAACTGTCTCATGTCCATTCGATTACTAGAGCAGAAACTTACCTTGAGGGTCGAGGTAAGTTTCTTCCTCCCCCAGCACAACCTGACAAGTCCTTAGATGCCTGTTGAGGGGCACAGTGACAGAGTGGGTGGGATGCAGCGGGGGCAGGGACGGGCAAAGACTCTGCATGGGTGTGTGCTCTGTCAGGCCAATATAAAAATTTATAATTTATACCATATTTGCTCAAGTTAGCCAGAGATTACATGAGAAGAAAAGAATACCAAGCAATACAGCAACACAACAAACCCGATGAGTCCTAGTTGGGGTGAGACATTTTAATCTAATGGTAGCACATAACACTGCACAGGGAACACTCTGCAAGAGTGTCCCTCCAGATTACAAGGAAATTCTGGGAAATAAGTAGGTCAGCTACAGTCTGGTCCCCTGCCGTGGGAGGGAGAGGAAATGGAGTGAGAAAAGCACCGTCGGCCGCTTTCGCGTCACTCATAGATCCAGGTCTGAGCGCAGCTCTTGTAATCTACCAGTTCCTCAGGCCGAAACCACAAGGCAATCTCCTTCTCCGCACTCTCCACGGAATCGCTGCCATGGATAATGTTCCTGCATGCGGAGAGAGATGACCACGTTACCCAGACCACAGGGTTAAACTGCCCAGAAGCCCCCCTCACTCCCATTGCCAGAAGCCTACAGACTACCGCAGCAGAAAAAGCCCGTGCCACCAGTTCACATTAAAAGGAAAAAACCGCCCTGGCTGGTGTGACACAGTGGACTGCACGCCGGCCTGCAATCCAAAAGGTCGCCGGCTAGATTCTCAGTCAGGGCACATGCCTGGGTTTTGGGCCAGGTCCCCAGCTGGGGACACGTGAGAAGCAACTGATTGATGTATCTCTAGCACATCAATGTTTCTCTCCCTCCCTCTTTCTCCCTTTCCTCTGTCAAAAAATAAATAAATAAATCCTTTTTTTTTTTTTTAATAGCAAATTTGTTTTAAAAAAATAAAAGGAAAAACCCCACAACCACCATTACCGTAGGATGGAGAATGCCCTCCCCATCCCGCCTTCCTGGCACCGCTGACGCAAGCAGCGAGAGGCTTCAGGAAGGACTTTGGCCAGCAAACTGCTATACCAGGTTCTACCCTCAAAAGAGGCACAGCTACAGCGATGTTGACAACCAAGGCAGAGAGCCTACAAAGCCAAACACCAACTTAAGAGAAAAACAATGAGCTGATTTAAAATTGATCTGTGTAAGGTATCATGTCCATCCCTAGCTGCAGGAACCCAAATTCTTATGGCAACTCAGATTTTGGAAAAGGGTAAAAAGCACCAACTAGCACCTGCCAACTTGGATACAAAAGTCTCCTCGGATGGTCCCGGGCTTGGAATCTGCTGGGTTGGTCTCTCCGAGCATCACCCGGCCTGTCTTCACGACGTTCAGCCCCTCCCAGACCTCCAAGGAGGGAAGAAGATATGATTAAGGAAGAAAACCAATCTCAGCAGAAAATCCGAAGACTACTAATTCAAAAAAGAAATGTAAAAGCCCCCTTAAGATGACATGCACTCACTGAGCACGTATATAGAGGAAGGTGTGTTCACTATCTGCGCATCCTCCCTTTCACGATGTGTAGGCAAGGAAAGCTAAGAAAAACAGGTTCCTACTTTGTTTCATTCATGACTGCAGCCCCAGTGTCTAGAAAAGGGCCTGGCAAAATGATGATTACCAATACATATTTGGAGAATTACTATGTTAGGTCTTGCCCTCCAGAAGCTTATAGACCTGTCCTGATCGCTCCCAGCTATGAGTCTTCAGTTCAGCAAGCAAATGTTGTCTAGTCTTTAGTAGATCAAAGAGCTGACTCGTATCTTAATTGTCCAGTCCTCCCAGCCCCAGTTGCCTCTGCATCAGTGAGGACCTGGCATCAGAAGCAGAAATCACAACACTCACTCTTCACTCTCAACTGAGTCATTCACATCAATACCCCACACATACACACTCACCATGGCAACCACTGGCCCTGAGTGCATGTATTTCACCAGGCCGGTAAAGAATGGACGGTCCTTCAGGTCAATGTAATGTTCCTTGAGAAGGTCTTCGGAAGCCTATTGCACAAGACAGAAAGAATGAGAACTGGCCCCCAAAACTAGGAACCAGTGGTTATTTCCCTCTCACCCATCCTGCTGTTTAAAACGTGAGCTCCCAGCTCATTGATTCTGTTATAATCCAATTCATTCTCAAGACTACTAAGACTGCCCTGGCTGGCATGGCTCAGTGGATTGAGCACCGGCCTGAGAGCCAAAAAGTCAGCAGTTCAATCCCCAGTCAGGCACATGCCTGGGTTGCGGGTCAGGCTCCCCAGTTGGGAGCATGCAAGAGGCAACCAATTGATGTATCTCTCCCCGATTTGTGTTTTTCTCCCTCTCTTTCTCGCTTCCCTACCCTCCCTCTAAAAGTAAATAAATAAAATCTTTAAAAAAAATAAAACAGACTACCAGGACTAAAAGTGCTTCAGCTTTGTACCAATTTCCCCCCTATTAGCCCTGACCAGTAAACTACAGAATATTAGATTCATATTCAGTCATCTTGTTTTAGAGCGGAAATCTAACAATGCAATAAATGTCCATTCCCAGAGCAAGCCTCAGCTAAAACGTTAGAGGGGAATGAGAGAGGTGGTTTTACCATTTGATGGGAGGCAAACTGAACCAGGGACACTTCACACTGACTCAGGGGGTAAAGATCGGGGGCAGTGATCATGCAATTCTCACGGGCATTCGCAAACGGCCCAAAAGTTCACGGCATCTAGC